CAAAGAAGTTCAGGCTGAGTTCACATGAAAGGTTTATTGCGACGTCATTTCATCCGAAGAGAGTTTGCTCGGGCTGAATTACACCGTTAGAGAGTCTGTCGTACATCTCGGGGGTCAGAAGAAGAAAATTCAAGTGGTGGTAGTAATGTCCCTTCGAATTCAAGTGGTGGTAGTAATATCCGAAGAGAGAGTCTGTCGTACATCTCAGGACTTCGAATTCAAGTGGTGGTAGTAATGTCCCTTCGGAGCCGACTCAATGTACAATTTCGCAAAATACCGTCGACTTCATGATATTGGATCCCGTGTCGTCTAATAGAAAGGGTACGCCACGAAAACTTCGAAGAAAAGGTCCATTGGAATCCAGTTCGAATAAAAGAAAGGTACTTTGCTTGTCGTTACATTTGCATAACATTTATTTTTCGTACTCAGGGTTGAGTTATATTGGTATGCAGGGAACTACGAGTTCAAGCAAGCCAAGGAGATCGCGAGCTACGCGTACTCATGTTGAAGAGAATGCACCTGTCGTCCAGTTCAGTCAAGAAATTCAGTACTCACAGCCTACGCAATTGTTATATTCACAACATGGTGTTTAGGTGAATTAGCACTTTACATACAATTTTATGTGTTTGAAGATTTTACTTATAAAAGTGAATTCATTATGCAGGAAAACCGTTCATTCATTGATGGCAATGGATTTCAAGGGATTTGAAGGGATGCCGCTTATTTTACCGTTAAAGATTTGATGTCGTCATGTTNCAATGGATTTCAAGGGATTTGAAGGGATGCCGCTTATTTTACCGGTAAAGATTTGATGTCGTCATGTTTTTATTTCACCAACACTTACGTAATGACCTTGTGATGATCATTCTATGCATCGACAGTTTTCTCTTCTTGGAACGCTCATTTACTTAGTTTTTTTATTTGCAATGCAATTGAGAATTATAACTTCAGATTTTTTTTTTTGTTTGAGATTGCACTATATATGTAGTTGGGAATTATAACTTTAGTTTTGGTAATGTGTTGCTTTTCCTTGTTTGTACAAGCTGCTTCTGGACTCACATTTGGTGTAGTCCATTTTGTCTCCAAAAGGTATTTCAAGTTGATTATCCTAAATACACAATTCTTATACAAAATGGGTAATATCCATGTCATATATCAACAGAATTCAAACACCAAAACAAAAGACATAAAACATAAAAAAATTGGTACTACAAGCTTAGTTGAATCCAAATCAAACTTTCCCCTTGCCTTTTCCATTGACATCGACACTTCCTTTCTCCTTGCGAAATGTGATGTTCAAAGAAATCTCGATGCCTCGTCTTTCGGCTATTCGGGCAAAGTGGTCGAACATTTTCGGCAAATCTTCAACTAAATCGATTTCCGCCGGATTAACCACTTCAGTCGTGACACTTGATTTCCCGCTTGATTCTTCATTTCGGACCCAATCAAAATAACCACAATTTCTACTGCACGTTTTGAACAATCGACCTTTGTTATCGGTATCCCTTTCAACCTCGAAACATTTTTGCAATCCGTGTGCACACCATGGGCATGCCATTTCATCGGGCAATCACTAAAGAAG